TGTTTGTTTGTTTGTTTGTTTGTTTGTTTGTTTGTTTATTTGTTTGTTTGTTTGTTTGTTTGTTTGTTTGTTTGTTTGTTTGTTTGTTTGTTTGTTTGTTTGTTTGTTTGTTTGTTTGTTTGTTTGTTTAAGCTTCCACTGGTTAAGAAAAGATGGGACATCTTCATAACCTGTCAGCAAAAGATGTGACATCTTTCTGACACAAGAGTTTTCACTAAAAGTATTCTAGATATTATTCCAAAACATATCGCGCAAGCTGCACCGCCTTACTCTAAGTTAGCGTGATGCAAAGAATAATATAAGGGCCTGTTCATATGATCCCGCTTACCGGGACGTCTCGCTTACCGATGATCTCGCCGCCTATCTATTTTCCTATAAAATTTTGCATTGTGTTCATATGAGAAAACGAGCTGGCCCGCTTGCCGAGATCTCGTTTGAATTTGCCGATATCATAGGTAGGCGGGATGAAAATTTTTCCATATGAACACGCCAGCCCGCTTACCGGGATGAAGTGAAACAAGTCTTGCCGGTTTAATTTAACACTTTTTACTTGGTTTTACGTTTGTTTTGTAAACAAGTATTAAATAAGCACCTGAAGCAATACTTTTTCTTGTAAATAAACGAAGAAAAACACTAAAATCGCTAAGTATTTGTATTGCTTGACTGAAATGTAGAAGTTTTGCATACGCTAATTATAGAACTACAATGTAATTTCATCTCGGCAAGCGGGACGAAATACTCCATATGAACGCACGGAAATATTCGTCTCGGTAAGCGAGACGTCCCGGTAAGCGGGATCATATGAACAGGCCCTAAGACTCTTTTTAAGCTTCCACTGGTTAATAAAAGATGGGACATCTTCATAACCTGGCAGCAAAAGATGGGACATCTTTCTGACACAAGAGTTTTCACTAAAAGTATTTTAGATATTATTCCAAAACCTAGCGCTGTCGCTGCATGCAGCCATGCACCGTTTTACTCTAACTTAGCGTGATGTAAAGAATAATATAAGACTCCTTTTAAGCTTCCACTGATTAAGAAAAGATGGGACATCTTCATAACCTGTCAGCAAAAGATGGGACATCTTTCTGACACAAGAGTTTTCACTAAAGTATTCTAGATATTATTCCAAACCTATAGCGCAAGCTGTACCGCCTTACTCTAACTTAGCGTGATGTAAAGAATAATATAAGACTGCTTTTAAGCTTCCACTGGTTAATAAAAGATGGGACATCTTCATAACCTGTCAGCAAAAGATGGGACATCTTTCTGACACAAGAGTTTTCACTAAAAGTATTCTAGATATTATTCCAAAACCTAGCGCTGTCGCTGCATGCAGCCATGCACCGTTTTACTCTAACTTAGCGTGATGTAAAGAATAATATAAGACTTCTTTTAAGCTTCCACTGGTTAAGAAAAGATGGGACATCTTCATAACCTGTCAGCAAAAGATGGGACATCTTTCTGACACAAGAGTTTTCACTAAAAGTATTCTAGATATTATTCCAAAACCTATAGCGCAAGCTGCATCGCCTTACTCTAACTTAGCGTGATGTAAAGAATAATGTAAGACTCTTTTTAAGCTTCCACTGGTTAAGAAAAGATGGGACATCTTCATAACCTTTCAGCAAAAGATGGGACACCTTTCTGACACAAGAGTTTTCACTAAAAGTATTCTAGATATTTTTCCAAAACCTAGCGCTATCGATGTGGCATACTCCAAATATGATATTTCAACTATCGCCACAAAAAATTGGATAGTGTCAAATCTAAAAGCGAGGTGTACGGCTCATCTCCGCGTATACTCATCACTAGCTCGCCCGGGAAATAATCTGGCGATGCCCAGCGTAATGTCTAATGATATCAAATTTAGTTCAATGGGCCATTTTAGACTAATTTTCGATTCTTTTGAAAATGCTTACGCAAGTTTAATTTAAACGCTGATATCTCAGTCAATATTTCGTGATACGGTGATATATCATGAACCTATCAAAATTTAAGTTAGCTTTTTATGAATACAGCTACATTTATTTGAGCGACGTATAGCCCTTATAGTTTTTTCGCTATGGTATAGATCAAACGCCTGAACTTTTTTTGCCCACCTGGTATATATATGTAAATAAATGTTATTTGTCTTGTGCTACCTTGTAGGCCTATCAAATATAGAAATGAGTAGCTATATTAAATAACGAATATAGTACAATCAACTCGCGGTTGTGATAGCGCTGCTTGAAAGCCGTGGTATCTAGCATACTGTATAGGCTTACTAAAGAAATAATAACTGATTGCGTGCTGCAATACCTATAGGCTATAGCCTTTTGACTATTACCTAACCTTACTGATTGAAAATACTTCGCATTAATCTTTATTCTTTAATAAGCAGCCATCAAAATATTGCCAGTTTGTTCGATCTTGATCTCCATCCTGAATCCATACACACGATTGTCAAGCAGAATGCACTCTTCTTCATGCAGACCAGATTTTGGTGCAATTTGAACTTTGCGCGGCATTGTCTGCTAACATTATTATGAATTGGTGATGACAACCTGGTTTGTTAGTTAGCTCAGTTAGTTATTTGCTACATCATATCTATGGGGTTAAATTTCATGCACGCATAAATTATTTCATTATAAATTTATTATACATGTCCCCACTCTTACCACCTCGACAACAGGTGGGAAATTTGTCTGAGCATGCGCGAGTAAAATGAGCCACGCAATTGCGTGGAATACACGCAACGCGTGTTTACAAAAAGGCACAATCGTGTAAATATTGCCAAATGTTTGTACAAAATAAATGACTGTTTTATGTTGAAAGAGTGGACATGATCTAAATTAATCATACAGATTTTTCAGTGACGTTCTATTTCAGTACCCAGCCATTGTCTCTGGTGGGCTGTCCGTGTGCATTCGATCTGAAACAGTTGCTACTTTGCTGTCGAAGAATTTCGAATGTTTACATGAAAATAGAGGCAAGTCATGCATTTTACAACCTCTTAAACTGTACGAGCCCCTATTTTTACGCTTATACCTAAGATATCAAATAAAAGTACATGAAACAGAGAACATTTGTAGAAAGTTTTATCGTGAGGCCACGGCCAGTTTTTAAAATATCTTTATTTCTGTTCCTGTCATCACCAAAATTACACAAAAACCGGGCTTGAATATACAACAAATTTTGAATCTCATCAAGCACAAAAATACTTAACGTGTAACCAAAATATGCTCATGAAATCGAAATTAATAGCTAAATTTTCAATCTAGACCCTTCTCGAAGCGGTTTTGATGAAGGAAGTTCACATTTCGGCCTTTGATTCTTGGCAAAAATTTGACCACAACACGTGCGAAGCAACTGGGTCTCAAAGACTGAACTAAAACATTGTGAGCCCCTATTTTCCTGACGATATGTTTGATACCTACAAACGCCGAAAAGCTTTTTCTTTTCATTTAGCTATATTTGAAATTGAGGCCACGGGCTATTTTTGAGAAAATACAGTTCAAAATCAAGCTATTTTTACATATTTTCAAAATTTGTCAAATTTTGCGAGCTTGTATTTTGAACTTAGACAGCTGAAGTTACATTAAGAAACATAGGATGGAAAATTTGAGGCATATAAAGTTAATTTCAACTTACATTTCACTCTCAAATCACGTCTTTCTTCGTTTATTACGGTTTTAAACAAGCCATAGATCGACGTATACGGTATTTACTCCCATGTTCACGTCGCCATATTAACTTCTTCCAATCACGCGATTACGAAACAATCATCCCAAAACAAAGAATTCATGATCGACTTTTAAAAGAATAACCAATAATTTGTAAATCGTTGAATGGAAAGCAAAAAATCGTCAGCTAAAACGGCTTCTTGCTAACTTTCTGCTTTGTTTTGAATGTAAATGCAATGGGCTATGTTTCTGCCCGCAATTTTTTGGTCAGCGACGACAAATTTCCCACCTGTTCACCTCGACTAATAATGCTGTGGTAACCAACACCTTCAAGATAATTCAATTTATAGGCGTGCGGGTCGTCATGCTTCAGCGGTTTCGAAGCATCTCTCATTCAGCACACAGGTTATTTGAGCGCGTTATTAAATCAAACAATTAATAAGTCGAGGGCAGTATAAGTTTGTACTGCCTCGTAGTACCTGGAACGCAAACGAATAGGCCCTTCCAAGGTTAATGTGTTTGCACCCCTTGCAAATTTAACGTGTAGGGAATTCCTATATGTTTCCACCCCTTGCACTATTGTGTTTCATTATGGCGTCACTAACCTTGGAAGGGTCTATTGAATACTATTATTCATAATTTGCGAGTTCGCAGCAAAAATACTTTTATTGTAATACATGTATTCAGTTCCCAGAAACTGCTGGAACGATCATTGTTGGCAACTATTCGTACACCATACGTAGAAATCTTAATAGATAACATGAATAAGAGAGCCGAAAAGTCGTTTATAGCTAATATTTCGTTGTATACTGCTACAAGCAGAACGAAATAGACAGTGAAATTATTATACAACATATAATCTTGCTGAACTATATCAATTTCAACTATTTTACTTGTATTACATTTTCCTATGGCAAATATGACATTCGTTTCATCAAGCTGAATCAGAGATAAAACATGAGCAGGAATGTATCCTCCAAACCTCTACTGAAAGGTCAAATCTCGCAACCGTAATAAACATGAAAAGCAAGATTACCGTATTTACGTCTGTTTCTGGATGCTTCTACTTCTTTGTATCGTTTCGAACATGGACATTCTTGGCGCCAATATAGATAGTATATGCACCCATTATGCTCCATGATGTGTTTTGCGGTTTCGCGTTTTGACTTTAAAAGGACAACCTAAACGAAATACAGTATATTGAATTTAGTGAATTAAAAGTCGGAACGAAACGAAGCTTATCATAGATACATGTAGATCAGTAAGCTTGTACATGTATACCGCATTAAATAGCACTGTTCGTGATATTAACAGTTAATAGTATTAATTAATAATATTGTAATTTAGCTGTCTCCATGGATGTGTATGTTTGTATATATGAGCAATGCGCACTGCACAGATATCAACAGGTAGGCTAAATATGTTAGGACTTAGGAAAAATCTTGTCCCATTTACGTATATACTAAGCGGAAATTTGCTATTGGTATTATCTTGAACTGTCTGTACCAGTGTAGATATATGTTCTAGCCTGCTGTTTAATAAAGCCGTGTACGAGAATTAAGAGAAATGACAGTCACTCTAAAAATGTAATAAAGCATTATGCAAAATGAGTTTCTATAGCCATGATAGACATGTCACCTAAGAAAAATAGCATTCGACGCTAAGAAAAGTACAAATATAAGCAATTATACTCCTCCTTCTGTCCTCCGCAGTTGCCTGCGACGCAGATTCCATGAATTTAGTTTATTCCGATAACCTGCGAGGGGCATGTTTGCATGACAACGCGAGTTCACTATAGATATTAAATAATGTATGTATATGTATGATATTACATGAAAGACAATCCGTGGTGACAATATGGTAGCCAAGTATTGCTTCGATATCCTAACAATTTTTGATCAGTTATAACTAGTATAATTCTAATTTTTAATGTAGTCTTTCTTGTAAATTTAATATGTTTTGTACTCTATGCACCAGCTTTGTTTGAATAAAGTTTGCCAATATATATTTGTAAAAATTGCACTCGAATTTTAGTATTGAAGTTAGGCCTACGATGTTTTCGGGCAATCTAAATTTCTGGGTGTTACTAAAACATGGTGTAATAATTGCAGCTCTGTAGACACCGATTTGTTAGGGAAACACAAAATAGATTGACCAATCGTTATAGCTAGATGTTTCAAATATATACTTACTGGGCGTATATCTGGTGTTTGACTAACTTAAAAATGGTATAAACATTTACACTAAATCAGTGCGTACAAAGCTGCAATTATTTATACCGCTTTCGTGTAATGTACCAACAGCCACTCAGTGCGTTAAAATATCATCTACTTTAAATTTTAATTAAAACGTATTGTTCCGCAATATCGCATACCACAAACAAATACATCGTAAACAACTGAACATAAACCAGCAATAAATACCAAGTTACGACTTTAAATTATGTTGTAATTGTATTATAGTATTTAGAAGAGATCTGACAGGTGGCGCATTTGCTTGAGTTCGTCGAATCGTTGGCAAATATTACTAATATGCATCCAACTATAACCATGCATGTTGCGAAGCATAGTATAACCGAGTCACGGGCTCGCGACTTCCGTATGATATTGCAATAAAGAATGACCAATTGTACAAGTTTATAGTCTACTTACATAGTCAAATGTCTAATGGTGATATTGCATAAAGCAGAAGTTGGCAGGTGGATCTGTGACATGCTATTTCCCCGAAATACGTAGCACGAATGAAGAACGTAACATGAACTCTCGAATTTTAGCATATTTGAATATTCCCTGTGGAACGGAAGCTGATATGGCTTATAGGATTAGTGTCACACCAAGAATTCCCGCGCTCAAACTCCTGCTAGGGGCGGCTATGATCTGCAAGGTTTTTACAATTATCCATCATATGTTTAATAAAACCATCCCTTTATATTCCTCGCTCCAGTTTTGTCTGATTTTTGTCAGAAATGTACCAAACAAGGTATTTTTATCGCTATTTGTTGTATTTGAGTAAAATGTAAACAATACCAAAGCCCGCGGTGCATGACCTCTAGTCGCTTTTGCTAGATAGTATACTTCAAAATTAGGTTTCCGTTTTTATATCAATTTTTAAAATAAGTTAGGGTAGGTTAGGGTTAGGTTAGGGTTAGGTTACGCACGCCAAGAAAGTTGAATGTAGTTCTACTTTCATTGCGTGTCCGCGAGGAGTCAGACGGACAAAAAATGCACATATCTTCTGTTCATATCTTCGCTTCAGTAAATGCTATGTAGATTAAATTTTAGTCAATGTTACACCCGTTTTCAAAATTACGCGACCTCCCTGAAAAATACTCCTACTTCAAATGTCAGTTTTATGTCACAAGAACTGCTAAAAATAGCAAACGTAAACAAACTGTCTAAAGACATTTTAAACCGTATTTAATACCAAAACTGAACAAAAATGAGTCAGATAACTTAGATATACAAACTAAAGCACAATACAAACCATCACAACATAAATATGTGCCGTGAATGACTTTTCAAGTTTGAAAAATAACAATTTATCCTGGAATATAGCTGTCAGTATAAAACACACGCGCTAGACTATAACGGTGATGTTATGATTTTGTCGTGCTTAAATTTTACAATAATTCTCACTAAAATAACTTGCATATCATTGTAAGTCTGTTTATATGAAGCATACAAAGCATATACATCGACAAGGAACCACAAAACTCAAAATTTGAACTTCGTGATCGAATGACATAAAACTGACATGTGTAACATGATAGCGATTTATGAGCTTTTTTATGATTGATGATTTTTGAGCTTTTTTTTCTTTTTTTGAGCTTTTTTTTTAGCCTTTTTGCTTTTTTTTTTCCCCCACAATCAATTGACGTTATCAGACGTGTCGAAAGGGTTCAGCGTCGTGTGACTAAAGTCATCCTAAACCTACCTTTTAAAACTGATATAACGTATAAACAACCTTTGAACTCACTCCATCTACTTCCCGCTCCTACTGGCATGAATTCCTTGATCTGGTATATTTTTCTTCAAAATTGTTCACAATATTACCACCATGAACTCTGAAGTCAAGCCAAATCAACATATTTCCACAAGATCAACCGGAAATACTTCCGACCCTAGTCTACTCTACTTTCACTCTAAAAGATGTAAAACCATAACTTTTCAACGATCATTCTTCTCAAGCAAGTGCAGAGTTTGGAACAACCTACCTGGCGAAATGCGCCGCATGGATACGCTTTAGAAGCTTGCTAAAAGAACATTATTTGACGGCATCTCAAACGATTTTCGAATCGGATGATCCAAGGACATGGAAATCTGTGCGTCCGAAATGCAATTCAGCACGCATACTTAGGATCTCCACGTCATGTTGTAGTTAGTGCATGTATTCTCTCACTTATCGGGACCACAGTAATTGTCTTCACACGCTGTATTCATTGACTAGTTGTTTTCTGTCTTGTTTAGTTCTTAAGTGTATGTATATATATATGTATATATATATATATATATATATATATATATATATATATATATATATATATATATATATATATATATATATATATACGAGTAGGTTTATGAATACGAAACGTAAAGAGTGCTCAATATCATAAAGATAGAGCAAATGTAGAATTTCGCTTACCTCAAAATTCCGCAACAGTCTGTTTCATCAGTAAAGAATCATCAGGCGGTATGACAAGTTTCGAAAATAGGACTGCTTATATGTGTTTTGGCCTGAATGTGGGTGTGTGTGGGTGAAACAAAGCATGCATTCATCTATTGTTTGCGTTGTTTACGCGGAAATGCTTAATTGAGTTGTGTGAGTGTATTGTTTGCGTTGTTTACGCGAAATTTCTTCCTATGTCTGCACGTAGATATAATTTCCATTCTTTTATTGAGTAAACAGTTTTGGTTTTCTTTCAAAATACAAAATTTTTCTTCTAAACATAGATTACATCGTTTTGATCCTCCCGTATACGAAATAGCGCGTTTCAAAATTTGCCAATTGATATTAAAATCATTTTTGCTATCTTTCAATGTCCAAATATATTTCGAAAGCTCAGTTTTGTTTGAGTGCTCTTTATGCTCGAAAGTACAGTTATGGTTAGCCAAACGCTCTTTAAATGTAGTTGATGTCATGCCAATATAATTCATGATCGTGTTAGGGTTGCTTGTTGTGACTGTTGCTTTGTATACTATGCCCTTAGTCATGCATTGTTTCTGAAGTGGGCATATTGTGTTTTTCGAACAACTGCAATTGCCAGTGTCCTTGCCCTGTGCCTTGTTCTTCCTAGCTATACGTGCATTGTGCTTAGTGATTATAGACCTAACATTGCTCATGCAGCTATAACTTACTTTTACCGTATTTCTGTTAAAGATCTTATGCAGCTTGTGGTGCGAAGGAAAGTGCTTGTCGATAAGGTTAAGGAAATTACGCCCTATGTTAGTGCTGACATTCATGCTAAATGGTGGGTTGAACCAAATGACATTACGTTGCCTATTTCTGCGTGCTTGCTGTGGTGCATGTTGAGTGTAGTTAAGATCATGATTAAAGTTGCTATGGTCAAGTGCGTTTTGGTATGCAGGTGCAGATTCCATAAATGTTTGCTCATCTGATGAAAGCATTGCGATGCGCTTGTTAACTGATGTAGGAAGCTGCCTTATAATGCTAGGTGGATGATTAGAGTACCTATTTATGTATAGCGGATCGTCATTGGGCTTTCTATAGGGCCTATATTTTCCGTTGTTAAGATTGAAAGTTACATCTAAAAAGTTCACTATGCGTAAATTTGATTCGGCGGTGATTTTTAGGTCAAACAGTTTGAAAATTTTGTGGAGTTCTTTCCTTGTTTTGTCTGCTAAACGTGCCGATTTACTTTTTATAAGAGCCAAACCGTCGTCTCTATATAGGCCGATGCTTTCTTTGCCAAACTTCTTACTTAGGTGATTTAGGACGAAAAGGCCAACTAATTCACATATTTCGGCGCCATCGTGGCTGCCCATGCATGGTAACGTCAAAGAAACCTTCACTATCTTTTTTTGTCCATGGTTTTCCGGTGTTGAAAAGCAGAGATTTTCTGGCGTGTTTTATGATCATAATATCATTATCCGAAATGGTAGTTAAATTAGAAGCCCAAGATAAGGCTTGATCCAAAAGCTTTTCCGAAATGGATGGGTAAAAATCAACGATGTCAAACGAAATAAAACTGTCTTTCTTTGTCTTTCATATTTCCAAACCATTCAATTACTTGTTTTGTATTTCTCTACTGGTTCAAATTCAGTTTTTGTCTCAAATTGGAATTAATTTCATCTAAAATAATTTTGCTCAATTTTCCTGATTCGCTTTTTGCGGGATTAATTAGCCGACATTTTGGATTGTTCTCGAAATTTTCTTTGTGGTCTTTTAAAGATATAAATGCTTCACGTTTTTTCATTTTTTCAATTCTGTCGCCGATTCCTAAATTGTTCGAAATGTCTTTTAATTCAGAGTCAATTTCGTCTACATATAGTGTCCTCGGATCCATGTTCTGGCCAAAACACATAATAAGCAGCCCTATTTTTCGAAACTTGTCATACCGCCTGATGATTCTTTACTGATGAAACAGTCTGTTGCGGAATTTTGAGGTAAGCGAAATTCTACATTTGCTCTATCTTTATGATATTGAGCACTCTTTGCGTTTCGTTTACACAAACCTACTCGTATATATATATATATATATATATATATATATATATATATATATATATATATATATATATATATATATATATATATATATATATATAAAAACTCTTTTTCGACCACCCCCTTTCGCATCATATTACGACACAATTTTTCTGATATAAATATCTTGGCGAGTACTTACCCCCCCCCCCTTTTAATAAAAGCCACCATTGTAATCCTCACAAAATAACCTTTCGAACGGGGGGTCATGTGCCGTCAGAACATTAAACAAACCGAACTCAGGCAATCATATATTTACTCGCCGCTTGGCCAAAGATTCTAAATTTCATATCCACAAGATCTTCAATATGTCTTGAACTTTTCGACATTTGCGGAACAGCTATATGTGTAAAATACACATTGTATTCAAGTGCTTTCGTATACAAAATTTCGTTTGGATACGCCGAGTAGAAATATTTATATTGAATTTTTCAAGATGTCGGGTTTTTTGGGGGTCTTTTTTCTGTGCTGGTGTTGTGTACTCAGGTGAATAATATGATGTTTGTGATCTTACTCTGAGTGTATATACACACCGGGCGAGCCCGAAAATTATGCTCGGTCACGGTGGGAATCGAACCTACGACCCCCGGAATACTAGCCCATTGCTCGGCCAACTGAGCTACGTGGTCAGAACGGTTCGAGTAAGTGCTATTGCGGAACAGAATCTAGTTCCTTCGATACCAATGTAATCTAGTAATATGATTTTTTCTGTGCTGATGTTGTGTACTCAGGTGAATATGATTTTTGTGATGTTACCCTGAGTGTATATCCACACCGGGCGAGCCCGGGTTTTACTCGCACTTGCGTACATTGCGCAATAATTGACCAATAAGAAGCTCCTGTGGCCGGGATGACGTCAAACTCACACGTGTAGGTGCAATTTGACCTTGCGAATCCATTTCTGGCCTTTCCAGGGTAATACGTAACGATACAACTCGAAGGGCCTTCGCTCGAAACGTTGAGTTTCTGCTTGTTTTTTAAGGTAGCAATATAACCACTCAGCACAGCATTTTCAACGATACAAACGTCGCATTGTTTTGACTGTTTTCAGTCGTATTGGGCCATTCCATTTAATATAGGCAACCCCCCCCCCGCCCCATTGAGGGGTCCATTCATAATCCCCTTAGGAAATAAAAATGTTCGAACCCCCTTGGATGCGATTTTTGGAAGTTACCCCATGGATTTCTTTATAACCCCTTTAGGATTTCGTTTTTATCCCCTTGCATATCACTA